AGTGATAGAACACTCATCCTCAATCACTTCCATAACATCATCAAAGCTGTTGGCATCTTTCAATCGAGGCTTTAAATCTCGATGACACCTTCGAATGTAGGTCTTCAAATCATTGACAGAGGGTATGGCTGCTTCAATAAGAGGAACAATATTGTGAATAAGTGTACCAAGCTTATGTTCCATTCTATCAAACTCAGCTTCATAGCCAGGATGAACTATGACCTCTACTACACCTATAATATAGTGTAATGACATTGAATTGGGTATAATTAATGTTACTAACATTGTGCAGTAGCATCAGTATTGGTAGTTACTTGAGTCTCACTACTACTATCTTGTAATTGTCCAGATCCTGTATTTATTATAATAGTCAATGTATATATGTTATATTATATCATTACTTGAAGATGTTGAAGTACTTGCTTCTTGACAAGATGGCATCACTGTTACTGCTGAAGGAAATGACTTTCCTATTGTAATAGAATATAAATAAGTTAAGTGTATTTATAAATCTGTTCATTTACCATATTCCATTATTATATCACTAGCTAAAGACACTGCTTCCTTTGATTTTATTAGAATGCTTGTCAGAGTACATAACTTGCTATGATCTTCAGCTACAGCACTTAATATTAGTAACATTGGATCTCCCACCAATGAACAACCGCAACTCTTCACTTTTGTTAAGGTATCCTTAGATATCAATCCCTCTGTATGTAAGAGATCAACTGATTCCTCAGTAAGAACAACTTGAGCTAGTCTACTAATATAACACTGCAATATCTCATTAACAGGATCTGCCACTAAATAAAAGATATAAATGCAAAAAATGATAATATTACTAATTTACTATTACTTGTTTTACGAATATCAGTAGAAATGGATACTAGATTCATTTCATTGAGTGCATTAGCCAGTGTCTGCCATACAAGAGTATGATCAGAGCCTTCAGTCAACCACTTGGCTAAACATTCCATCAGGCAATTTGAAGGATCTTCCTTATTAGCTGACTCAATAGCTTTCAGTGTAGGATGAAGGAGACCAAGATTCAATCCAAATTCAAGCCATCTTGCTTCAGGAAACTTGTAGTGCTTCAACACTTTTAGAACAAAGTTTAACTTGCTAATATCTGTACATAAAATATGTATATCAGCTAGTGTATTATAAATAATCTGACTCACCTAATGAGAAATGTGATGGTTTTGAAGCCATTTGAAACTAGTTGAAGTATTGTATACAAGGTAAAAGGAGAGGTAATGGTAAGACAAGAAGTAAAAGCAGAGCAGAGCAAATTCCA